TGTATATACTCTATTTTATCTTAAATTTTGTTTCTGTGGAGGGTGGCAGATAAACAAGTGTCCTGTAGAGACTCAGCTTGCAAAGTTGAGATGATTCAAGTGATTAACAGAAGGATTGTGGTTTGTTCTGCTACTCTGATCACTATGTGTCAATACTTTCTAATGAAAGCATTACCCATATGTAAACTGCTACTCTTAAAAGTTATTCTATTTCAGATGTTGCTACTTTATATCATCGGAACTGAAAAAATTCACACGCAGTACAGCTGTGTTGTGGGTTTCAGTTGCTGGAAAGTTTCACTCTCAGATTATTAAAGGTTTGTAGTAAGCATAACTGATAATGAGATACACTTCTATATCCCTCTTCAAACAAATTTGCCCTTGAATCAATCACTTTTGCTTAAATGAGAATATATTACAATGAGTAATGTGATATATATATTGATGATACTATCTTACACATCCTAATTTTCAAACATGACAGAATAAAACATACTTCTGTTTCTTTTTAAACTCTTTGACAGATAATCTATATAACCTGTTATCTCTGTGTGTGTGAAACAGTCCTTTTCAAGATGTATTGAATATCACATGTTGCATCAACACCAGGAGCAAGTAAATTTGGGCACATTTGTCAGAGCTTTTAATTAAAAAAAAAAGATCTTTTGTGGAGGGCATTTTGTTTGATAAGATTTGGCATTTTGCTGGTTTGAGTTTATATCCAGATCTACAAACTCCCTGTCAAGTTCTTCCTGTATTTTCTTTTAGAGTTTGGATGGATTTCTTGGGTTTGAATAGAATATTATTGCACAGTTAAAAGTCATGATTTTGCCTAAATAAGAGAAATTGTTTTAAGAGCTAGTTGTATGTGAAAGAAAATAGCTGCAATACATGTCAGACTATGAAGTACACCACTGCTCTCACTGTTGGTACTACTTGCTCTGTGACATTCTGACCAGTGCTACTTGATCTCTCTGTATCTCCATCAAGTTTCTTCCAGTTGTCTCCTCCTCCAATTTTTTTTTCCAAGCATTAGAGCATAATTTTCTCATGGTAAAGTGACTCTTGTATCTTTTTTTACAAAGGGTAGGAGAAACAGTAAGCATTAGAGCATAATTTTCTCACGGTAAAGTGACTCTTGTATATTTTTTTACAAAGGGTAGGAGAAACAGTATGTGTGGGAGCAGGGTAATAAGAATGTTTTGTAAAAAATACCCTGAAGGTTTTACTTCCCTTCTTTGGTGACCCTGCCTGGTTCCAAGGCTGAGTCAGCCTTCACATCCAGACTGTGACTGACAACTGAGCTCCAAGTGAGGATAAACAAGATTACCAAAGTTGAAACACTGACCTTCATGTCTTTTCTTTGCCTCAGCTCATAACTGAACATAAAATTTCTCTTAAACCTGTCTCTCGTAGGTGAATGATGAGTATTTACTAACACTGTTGTAAGTCCGAATCTCTAAAGATACAGGAGAGGCTAGATGATATAGGGAA